GAACTCATTTGTTTCCCAAACAAAATCATACATAAAGAACAACAATCAGAAACAAGTTGAAGTCAGGGAAGGTCGATTCTTCTGGCTCAGGGCCTTCTCCCACTGGCTCCTTTGGCTCCTCAAGTACAGATCCAAGGTGGAAGTGGGGTGGTTTCTTTTCCTATATTCAGCCCCATCTGAATGTCCAAGCCTGGACTTCTCTTTTCAGGGACTTTGCAATTATCTGAGACCTTGTTGCAGGAGAAGGCAGACTATATCAGAGCTTCGTCCCTCCTGGGCAATGGGAGGGGGCATTGGCAGCTATGTCGAAGGGCATCCCCACCAGGCCCTATGGGAAGGGTGAGATCTCTGCAGGGGTTTGAGAGACATCAGTGCCTAGGGCCCCCAGAGTGGAGGGATGGGGGTCTTCTTACTCCCAAGAAGATGCGTGGTGTTGGCAGGTGGTGCATGGGTGGGGGTGGGGGGCTCCATCGTTTCCTCCTGAGCTTTTCCTTCCTACACACCTCCTTTCCCACCACTTCTCTTTATTCTCCTTTCCCCTAATATGAATCCTTTCCTAGTCAGTGGGATGGAGCAATGGCGTTTGAGGAGTGAGCGAGGTTGGAAATCCTCTCTTTTGTTACCCTGTTTACACCAGTCTTCTCCTGCCTCCCAGACTCAGGCTTCTGAAATTTAAAAGCTAGGAAGAGACTCTCTTCTTCAGCATTTCTAACTGGCACCTTTTTTCACTGAGTTAAAAATTCAGAGTAGCTGTCTGTGTGTGAGGAGTGAGGGATGAGAAGAGCAATAAAGGGAAGTAAAAGCCCTGGCTGGGGGTGGGGAAGGCAGTAAGTAATATCATATTTCCAAAATATCCCCGCAGCGGAGCTGGAACCACAGCACATTGCCTCAGTTCTCCTTCCCTCCTGCGTCCTTTGGTGGCCCCAAAGGCCTTTACAGAGGACCTGTGATGACTCAGGCCGCACACCATCTGACACAGTCAGCTCTCTTGTTCAAATTTTTTATCAAACTTTGGGCATATCCTGAAATCAAAAGACTGTTCCCTTTCTGGCAGAAATGACCTCAGCAAAGAATGAACGGTTGATACTCAAAGTTTCCCTTTCTGTTCATCGCAGGACAGAAGCTAAGCTCTTATAAAGGTGAATCGGGTATGACATTTCAACTCTGCCCAAAAGAACACAAATGACAGAAAAACGTGGGGCTGAAGGTGTGGGGTGAGGAGGAAAGGGAAATGAAAGAAGAGCCACAACAAGGAAAATGGTGTGCTCCTGGAAATGAAACTTCGAGATGTTGGGACTCCCCCGAGAACCTTAGGGACTGACTCAGCATATGCTGATCAAATGCTGAAAACAATTCATCAAGGACAGAGTGACACTGAGTTTCCCTGCAGCCATCCTCACCCACTGGGACACGCTTGGTGTTCTTATTTCTTTTTCCATAGCCTTGCAGGTCTCCAGTCATTCTACCAAGCAGGCCTGGATACTTTTTCCAAAGGCAGGCAGGTGCCCAAGATTGTTCTCCACCTGATGGGTGAAGTCTGTTAACTAAGAAAGGTACATTGACAACAGATGGGAGAGTTATGCAGCTTATAGAATGCATCATGGAATGTGTTTGGCATTTTTGAATATTTTTCAAACATTGGATTTTGCCCAGGATAGCCCTGTCACAGTAGATACTTCCTATTACTACTGTTGTCATTTCACTTCATTGCCCTTTAATACGCAGTCACAAGGTGAGTGACCTTTAAATCATCCATCAGGACAATTACTACATGTTTAAGTGCTGTTTTAAGGAAAACTTTTGTCCTTACTGATTTAAAATTTAAAAAGAGGAGGCATGGGACATTGGGACTTCCTGAGGCTGGACTTTTTTCCAATTGACAAATTGAAAAACAATCAAATAATGCAGACACTCTTCCAACTTTAAAATTCCCTCAAATCTCACTAGAGTTTAGGTCTTGGAACTCCCTAGGACTCTACCAATGCTATAGGAACACCACAAAAGTTATTGCAATATGGAAATAAAAGGAAGTCCTTTTATATGCTTTGTTGGATCAATGGCCTAAATAATCACAAGAGGGGAAGGAAGGAAGGAAGAAGGGAAGGAGGGGGGAGACAGAGAGAGAAAGAAGGAGGGAGGGAGGGGGTAGGGAAGGGAAGGGAAGGGAAGGGAAGGGAAGGGAAGGGAAGGGAAGGGAAGGGAAGGGAAGGGGAGACTTGGCTAACTGGCACTGGTTTTCCGAGGTCAGTGTATTCTGCTTGAGTATGAGAAACAGTAAAATGGCTTTCCTTTTTAATGATTCACAGCATAATTGGAATTCTTGGAACTAAAGGAGGACATGTATGAAAGAGAGAAGAGAAAAAGGAACGATGAAAGGAGTGATGAACAAAGAGGAGGAGAAGACACAGGCTCCACCAAACCAGCAGCCTTGCCGAGGACATGCTCCACCCACAGTCTGATGTTTGAGTCCTGACTTTGCAGTTGGAGGCTCAGGTGCCCTGAAGAGCCCTCCTGATGCTCATTCTCTCTGTTTCTGCTTGTCTTGCAAACAGTAATGACAAAGCAATATAGTGAATGTCTCTCTTCTGCAGAACAGGTGGAACAAGGCAGTTCTTCCTCAGCTTTTCTGTTTTTAAAGACTTGCAAGCCCTGGGTGAAGGAAGAGAGAAAATGCCATTGTTCTTCCACAGTCTCTGGAAGCACTATGGATGGTTCTCATTTTTCTCTGAGCTTCTCTCTGAGGACCTTTCGGCATCTCCTGCCCCACCCAGAGAGAGTAAGCACCCCAGTGGAAATCCCCTGAAAAAACTAGCACATGCTGTACCAAAATATTGTGCCTTGGCTTTGTTCTCTCACATCTTCACAACTAAAGGAAAGAGATACAATCAAAATGATAGGCCACTTAAATGATAAACATGAGAATTTAAAGAGACATGACCCAATTACTCACCTGTGCAATGACACTCAGGAGTTTATGAAATCTGTGTTGGTAGATAGATGTAATTTGTAATTCCCCCTTGAACTCTTGCTGAATTCATGGGACTGTATAATTATAGCTTTCATGAAAGAGTGTTCAGCTCAGTGCACGAAACGTACCAATGTTTGCGAATCAGGCTTACAATAACCAACTTTTCAAAACAAGATTAGAAATGAGGACACAAATGGTTATCTGATGCACATAACTGTCACTCTTTGTTTGATCTGGAAGGTGTTTTGAAATGCCCAAAGAAGGCCCCAGTAAATGGAGGATATAGACTAGATCCCCTTCAGTTAGAGTCTTGCTCTGAAATATTCCTTCAGCTTCTAGTACAGAGCGGGGAACCATAACTGGAGTAGACCATGTTTGTCATTGTCTCAAAACTAAAGAGGAGTTTCCAGAAACTGGTCCCATCTGCTTTTTTCTCATTTACTTATCATCAAATAACTATGGCGATGAGACTAAGTCCTACATCCTTCAAAGATGCTCCAACTTGCTTCACTCAGGGGGGTGTTGTTCATCTCTGTTAATTGAGGTATTTCACAGGCCTGTGGACCAGTTATACAACAATGAGTACAACAGAAGTTGATAATTTCTGTCCACTCAGCTCCTCTGCACCCATCACATTTTAATCACAGTCTTGTGGCTTCTTTCCAAAAGAGAGTTGCTGTGAATCAAGAGAATGGTGCTTTTTGGCCTGAATCCAGGCTATTCATTTGAAGGCCTGAGCAGAAGCGTGTCTTACAGGAGGCATTTTCTGCCCGTTGATGATAGGACAGCTCCCCATCTGTGCCTTTGAACACCAATTATGGCTTAAAGAAGAAAGTCCAACAATTACCAGAAGTCAGCCAGGGTTAACAAATACCACCACTTTAACCAGAAGGCCCAGAAGGATTTTGATTGGCACACAAGTTTACAGAGAGTCTGAATTATCCATGCCATACTCTTAGACCTCTGCCCTATATATGGTAGGTATAGTTTGTATGTAGTACATAGTCCTGAAAAATTATATGGCAATCAGATTTTCACAAATAAAGTCCTATCTTAAATATACTAAGAACCATTTTATCCTTTAAACAAGAGGTCAGTGAACCTTTACTACAAAGGGTCAGATGGCCAAGATTTTTCACCCCTTTGTGCACCATACAATCTCTGTCCCATCTACTCAGCTCTGCCATGGTAGGACAAAGGAAGTTTTGGCTGATCTGCAAATGGGTAATCCTCTCAAAATGTGGATTGAAATGTTGACCGACACCTCTGCTCTTATTTAAAAACACTCATCTAGACACTATGATAGTGCTCCTTGGAAAATCCCCAAGGTAATTTTACCTGATCAGGAAATCAAGCTGGATTTATTTATAAAAATGGTACTTACAAGAACAGATAGTAGTCCAGATTTGATCCCTAGGCCATAGTTTTCCAGCCTCTGCCTTAAGCCAATAATTCTTGAATGGCCATTACAATGGGTGAAGTCTGAGGAAGTACAAGGGATACACAGAGAGCAAAAAAGAAAACGTGCTATTCTTGTGAAGCTGAGAGGTTGGGGGGTAAGCTATTTAAAATAAACTCATAATAAATTATTTCATGAAGTGAAGAATCTTTCTTTAAAACAAAACTCCACCCCAACCAACCAATGGATTAGCTTTGTAAGTTTCAATTTTTGTCTCATGATTCTTTTAAAGTGGGCCCCAGCCCAAAATAACTTGAGCCTATATTTGAATCTAGCACCTTACTTTGAAGTAAGCACATCAAGTCTGGGGCTGCGAGGTATGTCAGAAAGAAATAATAAGATGAAATGCTCTTTCTCCCCATGTCCTCCACCTCTGCTTACAGCAGCAGTACTTTTACTTGGACTTCCTGTTTCTGGAACTTGCCTACTTTTTTTGCTGGGTTTATACTTCCCCCTGTCTGTGGTTAAATAAGCATAAAGCTGTAGATCTGAGACTCTCTCTCTTTCTCTCTCCATCCCCCCCCCCATTCATTTTGTTCACACAGGCTCACACGTTTGTTCTCTCCTCTCCTCTCTCAGAATGACAATTCTAGGTACAGCTTTTGGTATGTTTTTTTATTTGCTTCAAGTCGTTTCTGGAGAAAGTGGCTATGCACAGAATGGTGAGTCATTTCTAACTTTTCTTAAGGATTTGGGGCTACCTCCAGCACACCTTCAGGGGACTCAGTTCCTCAACAGACCCGAAGCAGGCCCTGGGTTGGGATGGAGATTGAGTGCTTAACAGGCATTCAAGTCATTTCACGTGTCTTGACTACTAGAGCAGGGGGCATGGGGGTGGGGAGATGGCTTGCAAGCCCTCAGAATTGTCAAGAGGGAAGGCATTTGACTCTCAAAACATGGATCTTAAATGCTGATTGATTCCCTTGCTCTCACAAAAAGACCCCTATGGACTCTACAGTCATGCTTGCTGAAAAATCTCCAAGGTAATTTCACCTGGTGATGAAGTCAAGTTGGATTTATTTTGTTTGGCTTTTTAGGAGTTTTGAAAATTATGATGCTCAGGATAAAATAGTGTCCAGAAAAAATAGCTTTGTTTGCACTGACCAGTGTTCTTTCCTCAGCACCTCAATGTGTCTAGCATATAGTAGACATTTAGTAAATGTTTTTAAATGTCTTCAAAGTTGTTTTGATAGGTTCTTGTGAGAGTTTTAGTTTTAACTGAGGGGGCAAAGATCTGAATGTGTTGTCTTATTGAAATACACTTAATTGCCTCCACATCAATACATTTATCATCTGCAATAATTCTCCTTGAGGTCTTTGAAATATTTAGCAGCTGGGGACAGATCTTGCCTACTTAGGAAATGCTTTGTCATTCCAACTAAACTAGGCAAAAGTGCCCAGGCAGCAGCAAGAACCACCTGAGAACTTAGCCTACCAATGTGTTGCTGCGTATTAAGCCCTTTCCCTTTAAGAGTTAAAAAGTATTTTTCTATAGGCAGTATCAAATACATCAGCCTGATGACTCAACTTAGATATTTTGAGTCCTATAATTACTAAGGATGGAAATCCCTAGAATTTTCTCATTAAGGGAATTGTCAGAGGGTTGACATTTTGCAGCGTGACTGTGTATGAATCACTCAGGGAGGATGATCATTATCCTATGGCAAATGTTGCCTACGTATGGGTTAGCACAAAAATGTGTGGCAGGGAAACATAATCTCACTCTCCTTTGGTGTAGGATATTCTCTCCATTTCTCCCTGGTGATTATACTATTTTTAAAAGAAATAAGAATTCTAATTGAAAGCATTGTTTTCACTTCACCTTTTTAAATTTCAGAACTTTGTTCCCCAAGATCTATAACCACCTGACCACATGATCACATTAAAATACTTCCCAGTTTGGAGTGTAAGGAATTCACCATCAGCTGTTGCTTGTTGAAAAATAAATTAGTTCTCTCAAGTGTAATAACAAGAATAAAGGAATAACTGTTAAAAAGTCATGTCAACTTGTTAATCTACGAACTCTATCTGTTCGGTAGGAAGAAGACTTCTAAACCTCATCGCCTTGCCTATATATGTTCCAAAATTTTAAATGTTTATGGGTAAATATGCTTAGATATCTATTTAAATGTTAATATTAATTATTGAGCATTTAAAAATAACAGCTTTACTCACCATTCAAAGCTCCATGTAATTTCAAAACCACGGTGAGTCCAACACCTTCCATTAACATAGAATTGTTTTGCAAAAAAATCCCAATGTTGCATATATATTTTCAGAACTAGAATTCTTATTTTATCTCTTCATACTTATTTCTCAGAAAACATGATAGTCATAGCTAACCCTTATTTAGTGCTCAGCGTGTTCTGAGGTAAGTCTTTGTATATATCAATTAATGATTCCTCTTAGCATGAGTTTGTATGTGAGAGCACTGAGTCTTACAGAGGTTGGGTACCTGACAGAGAACCCATCTGCCAGGAAGAGTAGCCAGCTTTTAAACCCCCATCTGTCCAGGTCTGACACCACAGGTCTTAACCACTGCATACACTACTCTTCCCTAAGAATTTTTCAATTTGTGTCATGCAAAACATTCTCTTTGTAAAATGCTACACCATTTTACAAGTAACTGAAGGGAATTTTTCTTGGTTACAGGGCAATTTGCCCAGTAACACCTGCTAAAGGGCAACAAGCTGCTACTAAAACATAGCCACTCTCAGTGCAGGAAAAATTGTATAAACGGTGTTTTGCCTAATACATGAGAATATATGGCAAGCGTACTTTTCCAGACTGGACGGTTCAGGTCAGTGGGAGTCCTTTGTTTTTCTGGTGCCCAGCATTTTCTAGAGTGTGCTTTCTCTGGTTTACATTAAGAATTGTAGAGACAAAGCTGACCCATAGGAAGTCTGAATTGGAGTGATAATGTATACAGTATGTGTAGAATTGGTGGAATGTACAAAGAAGAGACAAAGTCAATACAATATGAGGCTGCCATGGAAGGCCAGAACCATTCTATTTAGAAAGGGGCCAAATCTTACAGAAGAGCTCTAACTAAGTCTACAAAATTAGGATGAATGTGTTTTAAAATATAAGACCTTTCATTATTTAACACTGCCATCAGAAGGAGTGTCACACCCAGCCAAAATTACATTAGGAGGCTTTGCTAGTGGCAGAACTGTGAACTCGATAGATTCCAGGAATGGTCAGAAAGGCAAATGCCCTTGGCTGTGAATGGTACCACAGCTCTTACCTTGCGGGGGCTGTTCCAGATTTGTTTCGGATTTGATACTTTGACTGAACTGACCCATCACTCAACTGCTTGGTCCATTCATAATCAGCTTTGTAAACTGTCCCATGGAATTTCTATGATATTTAAGTAAAGGTAGTGTTTTTTTGAACAGCCTATGGCCTCTAGAACATTCAACTGAGATTCAATTTTAGTGTATTCTGTGTCCCATTTAAAGCCTTAGGATGATTGGATATAGAGTTTCTAGTATTGATGAACCAAAAGGCCTAGAATCAGTCATAGATTCACACTCAACTACTCAAGAATAACTTTGGTTACTCTGGATTTTCTTAGGTTCTAGTTGGAGTGTATTTGCTTATGGATTTTTTCTGCCTCATTTTCCTACTAAATATTATGAATTACATGCACAAAATATTCATTTAATCATAGAGTCTACAACCTGTCTTAAGAAATCCAATACTATCTGTGACAGATTGTACTTTCCAAAGTGGTGGCAAAAAAAAAAATCTGATTCCACATTTTCTTCTAGAATCTAGCTAGTGTCTATAAGATACCATACCTACAGAAAAAAAAACTAGAAGAACAGAAGCATTATGTTTAATATTCACAAAGAGGTTTACCAGACCTGAGTCAAGCCAGATCTAACTTTTTCTTATCACATTTGTCTCAGTCAGTAGCATGAAACAAGTCACCTTATCAGTGGTTCTCAACCTTCCTAATGCTGCAATGTATTTTCATAGTTAAAAAGAGGTCGCGACCCACAGGTTGAGAACCGCTGCCTTAAATAGTCACGCAATGGAGATAATCAATGCTACTTTAAACTGGGGGGACTTTTTGGGCAAGAACAAGCAAACTCCTTTAAAAAGTGAACTTCTGACTATAAAATAGCTACAATCTTTATAATCTTTCTTCATTTGAAAAAATTGGGAGGGAATAAATTAATATTAACAAGAAAGTCAAAAATGAGATTAAGTAGCATATGAATAATGAGAAGAAAGTATCTCTTATTTGAAATGTACAAACATTTCAAGGTAACACATGTAGTAGGAGAAATTCTAATTTCAATAAAGGGAAATGGCTGGTCAGTGTCTCTTTCTAGTTCCCTAACGTGGAAATATTTGGAGATTACTTATTAACTGTGGTGCATTTTTTTTTCTTTTTGAAAACTCTGTGAACTCTGTTTTATTTGCTTGTTTCAAAACCCTTTTCTTGTCTTTGCTCTTGGGCTTTTCTTCTTCAAATAAAATATATTCAGTCCTTCATGTATACCACAAAAGTCTGCCACTTTATTAATATGACGCCAACTTTCAAAAAAATACTTTTATTTGCTTCATGAACAGCCTGCATGTTTGTTACCCCCCACCCCCACCCCCAGGAGACTTGGAAGATGCGGAACCCGATGACTACTCTTTCTCCTGCTACAGTCAGTTAGAGGTGAATGGATTCCATCACGCACTGACCTGTGCTTTTGACGACCCAGACATCAATAGCACCAATCTAGAATTTGAAATATGGTAAGGAACAGTGATTTCAAGGATATTTAGAAATGCTCTGTCTCTCGTTTCACGTGTTCTTTTTAATAGCTGCAAAAGAGTGTGTGGCCTAATTAATAAACATTAAAATCTAATGAATTCCCAAAAGCCTCCTAAAACCCTTTGTCCTTCATCAAGACTGAGGCAAAGCAACTCTTACAAGTTTATCTTCATGCTCAGAGGCTGCAGCCAAATGTTGCTATTAATCTTGAAGATTTCACATCCTTCCCTACCTCATAGTAGAATTTAAATCCTGGTTTTCCTAGGACACTCCTCACTAAAATATTATTTGCCCAACATGAGATAATCTAGGGTCTTCAAGCTTCATTTGGGAGTGAAGTTGCCTTGGTTCCTAATCCCGTTACCAGTATTTATGAGTTTATTGACCTAAAACAAGTTATATAACTTTACCTAAGCCTCAGTTTCCCCACCTGTAAAATGAGATAACTTACCTTATAAGAAGGTTGTGATGGTTAAATAGTTTAATACATGCAAAGCCCTCAGAATAGTCATCCAGTGTATAATGCATAATGCAGAAAAGATACTAATTCTGTGAATATCAGCTTAACTTATCCTCTTGACGCAGTTGAACTTCAGGTGATCCTCTCAAGGTAAATTTTCCAAAAATCTGCAGGAATAAGAAGACACTGGATCTCATTAGGCCTCAGAGTAAAGACAAAAGAATTTAAAAAGCTTCTGGTTTGAAAGTGTAATAAAGAGCTCAGGGAACTTGATCTTCTCCACTTTCACAAATCATCTTGTGCTGCCCAGAGTTATCTCTGGTAACCTGAAAAAAATACTCTAATGTGAAGTTATGACTTGTAGCTATCTCTAATATCTTATCAGATGACCTAATTTTTAGGTAGTTTTCTACTGAGGAAAGTAAGTCAAGATCTACCAGTAGTAAACGAAGGCTTCCTAAATTCTATAGACCTGAAACATTCCCCCTGAATACACAGTCCCAGAGCCCTGAATTCCGACTTAATGTTAATTTTCAGAAGCTTCCTGCATCTACATATAATGCTTCTTGCTGAAGACATTAGATAAACACAGTTTTGAACTTCAATACTATAGTGTGTTCTTAGTTTGCCTCTGTTAGTTCTCTTCTCTAACACACTTTCCAGGAATAGACTATGTTGAAAGAATGGGAACCTATTATGCTCTATATCTAGGCTACAAGTGGACTACACTACAACAGCCAAACATCTCATTCAAACAACACACTCATTGTTATGGGCAAAACACCCTTCCACACAGAGGTTTGGCTGTGGGTTCTCCAACCAGCTGGCAGTGGACCGCTGTGTTCAATGTGGTTTCTCATGGCCAGGCTGAGGCTGACCTCACTGTTCACTTTCACTCACACAGTATTTGACCACGCCCTTGCCCACTTGAATGCACTTTCCTACTTCTCTTAACATATCTCTTGATTTTTTTCCTGTCATATTTTACACTGTCCAGAGTCTCCATTCGGGTTTTGCAATTGTATT